GAAAAACTCGATTATCCGAGTTTTTCTCAACCAAGTGGTGGTCGAATCGAAACAAAGACTATATTTGTGACCAACTTATCAAGCTCTATCAAGTCATATATAAATGAAAGAGAAACAAAAATCGCTTGAATTTTGCATTTCCGGCAGCTTATTTTTTGTTCTGATATTCGAATTCTATTCGTTAATAATACTTGAACATAATTATATTAGTTGACAACAATACTTGAAACAAATGTTGCGAATGATGAACAATTATCAACACTAAACCATGAAAGTCTTTACTTGGACATTGAACAAAACAATGTTAAAAAACAAAAATTTGATAATGTTGGATTTATCAAAGATGAGATTACTATTTATCTTAGTGATGATGATAATCATTTGAATCGATTTATTTTTATTAATCGATCAATACAATGCAGATCATTAAACAAATTGACAAGAAAGATTTTGACAGTTCCTGCGACGTCATCATCTGTGAAAAGAATATTTTCTCAATGTGGTTTTCTATTTCGACAACATAGGGTCAAAACGTCAAAAAAGACTTTACAAATATTAACCATGCTAATATGTAACCAGAGACTGATGTAAAACTTTTTTCACTAAATTAATACATAAGTAAATCACAAAACTTGAAAAAAGTTCAATTCAATGACATAGAACTTGACTTGACTTGATTCGATTTAGAATTTTGCGTTGTGAATCGATGAATGGACTTGACTTGTGTCAAAAAAGTTGACTTGCCCATCTCTGTAACATGTTATGCTTTTTCAAAATATATATGATAGACAAAACAATGACTTTGTGGACACTATTCTCTCGCATGAGATCGTATTATACAGTAAATCATTCTGAAATGAAACTAAAAAGAATGCTTAAAATTTCGCATTATGATAGCTTGATATGTTTCTTTCTGAAACAAATAAAGTGAAATGATAATTTTAAAAAAATATGTTGCCATAATTCATCAACACTATAAATTATGATGAATACCTTTTTTTCCTTTGATTCCTTCCTTGTCAAACTTGGTTTGTGACTATCAGATTAGTAGATTTAGAATTGAATCTCATCTGATGCAGGTTTTGAGCACATTAATTAACTTTGGATAGATATAAAAATTGAACTTTTTTTAAAATTAACTTAGAGCCATTGAGGAATGAAAACTAGAAGAAACTATAGCATGTGAAGTCTCTCTTCTAGATACAAATCTTTAAGGGTCTCTCTTAATGAAAACACAGAAAAAGATTAAATCCTAAATTCATTTCAATGGCATTTTCAAGCCAAGCCATCTATGATACAATTAACTACGCAGATATTCTTGATTGATAAGAACATCTGTTAGCTATAGATTTGGAGTCGAAGCAATACTGTCCAATTCTTCAATACTGAAGTGCAGAAACATTGTTTCTTTCGACGATAATTTATGAAATAAAGACATTGATCAGAGATTCAAATACGCTGTCGGACTTGCCTCAGATAAGCACAAACTATAATTCTCGGTTCTGTCACAGGCTAGACAGTTCGTCTACTTGTAGTACTTCTAATAAATTTAAAATAAGAATTTAATTTATTTGAGAGTACGATGTGGTTGTCAATAGTTGTGATTGAGTATCGGTATCACTGAATAATAAAAATGATTTTTATATCATTGTTACAGGACATAATTTTAACTATTAGTCGCTTGTGACCACAGTTTGCATTGTTCGTTTATTTGTTGGTTTTAGGCGATTGTATCGATGAGTTAGTGTTCATTTTATCAAGTGTTTATGTTTGTTATTTGAAATGAACTTTTGGGTAATTCTTGTTCCATTGACTCATATTTATATTTTTCGTAAAATGTATAACTCTGATATGCCTTTTTCAACTACATAATTCATAATATATATTCAAAAAGTTCTTGATAAAAAAGTAGACTTTTTTCTCTAAATGACAACGTTTTCTAGTTGTTTATCTTCTATAGATGTATAGTGTATTGACTAGAAAATTATTTCATCTAATCATCACTTCAATTTACCTGAATTCCTAGTCTATTTATGAAGATTATATTCCGATTTTCTTCATATATTACCATGATATCAATATATGAAAAATACATAGGCTACGATGGGAAGGTAAGTCAGACCGAAGAAAATGAATAGCAGACAGAAAGAATCCCTAGTCTGTTATTGACAGACCAGGCCTATGAAAAGTCGGCCTGTTTGCAACTCTGATACAAATATCAAAAAGTTTAGTGTAAAATCGAATGCAAACTTTTAAAACATAGTCCAGATGCAATATGCGAGTTTTCAGAAGTCTTCTGTTTAATATAAATCAGATCCAAATTTTTTTAAATTTCTGTAGTATAGAAAATTTCGCATGAATTTTAGTAATAATCTTATTTAAAAATAATCGTGTACTATTCTTTTGAAGCATCAAAAAGTAGCATAAGCTACGAAAACATCCTCGATGAAGAATTTTCAAATAGAATGATCTGTTATTCTTGGTTTTCGTATTATCTCTTTGTATGTTTCGAAAACGGTACTATTAATTGTAGTAAATTGTTCTCTTGTAAAATCCAAACATGGATGTTGAGATGAATTTTTGATCAAAGATAACAAGAAAAATTATTTTTAAAATTATCATTTGCTCAAAAATCCATTCAGTGGGTGAGCAAGTGTCCTTTTATGGTGTTGACTCAGCCATGTGTAGAGCTAGGTTGGGCACCGTTCAATCATTGAAACTGTTTGTCCAATCACCCAGCGCTTAAAAGTCAGCCTCTTTATCCTAGACATGTGCAAAGAAAATAAGTTCAAAAGATTCACATTTATTTTTCCTGAAACTTAGTCTATACGGATCTGATCAGTCGGTAGACACAGAGTTATTTATACTGAAGTTTTCTAACTGAAACAACTTGTATTAGGCGAGCTAAAACGAACAGATTATCATGTCATCATTGAATGAGTTGCTAAATCACACACGTTATGGTTCATATGTAAAGAAAATATTCATAAACCATAGAGTTAAAAAGCAAAAATTTTCATTTAACCTCGACCAGAATATAAGAAACAGAAATATGATAATATTCATTTATATTCGATTAGTACTCAACCAAAAAAAATTGAATTGTTAAGCACTCTATGTATAAAGGAGATGCGTTTTTGCACATAATAGAGCAAGATCAAACTGCTTATTGTTTGACGCATATACCTCTTGCGTTGTCGCTCTTATCATCGCCAGCGACAGCTGTAAGTAAACAAATCTGTTTTAGTTCTGCAGATGTACCTAGAACTCAATTGAATTCATTTTTGAATAAAAAAAATAAAGATAATAGATAATTTTATTCACAATGGTACTAAATGTTTTTGTTGTTGCAACATTCAATGGAAAAAAGGTTTTATCTTATCTTAATCAAAGTGCTCCTAAACAACTATAGTATTTTTCATTCACAGACATCTTTAAATTAAAAAGCTAATTTATGTACATACAGTTAAATAACAGTTATAGAAATTCACTATAAAGCATACGTTGAACTAACTCAAATAGAATTATTAATCTCCTACGGAAATTCCATTAGCATTATAATTATACTTATGTCATTTAATTTCTGTACAAGTTCACGAAGTAAATGAATTGTAGGTTAATTAGATATAATCAAAATTTATGAATACCCTCAATTCATTATTGAAATTTAGGGACAAAAATAGTTTTATTAAAAATTAAAAATAAACTATTACCACTGTTCTATCAGATAATTCAATACTCTTGAATATTCCTATTAATACTATGTATATATTTATCAATAGTGATTGGAAACAATAGGAGTGAATATAGCATCATTTCGAAATCATTTTTACCAAAACTACACCATCACCATTTTCGTTCTTTAATAACAAAAGAATCTGTCTATGTTAAACTTCCTTTTAAAAAGTATTAGGGCGCCACACCATCGTTCAATCATGTCTGATTACGCCACTACTTTATATATTTTAAAATAAAGTGACTACTTATAAAAAAAAAAGATTCTGACTAGTCAAAATATTGAGAAAAGTCGGATGAAATGTTTCGTGCTGCTGATTGTAGATCATTTTGCAATATTTATTTTTACAGTGAAAAGCAATAAAAGAAGGTTTATCTGAAGAAGTATGTAGACGGTCGGATGCAACGAAAATTTTGAAATTTGTCATGAGTGGATCTGGATTTTGAACTTGACAGTAGTTACAAGTTCGATCCAGAACTCTTCTAGTGTACACATGAAATGAATCATATTCCTTAGCTAACTGTAATTATCCTTTCAATTTAACAGCCTGTTTTCTTTATAGTCAATTTTTTTTCTCTTAACTATAAGAAGCAACTCTCTTCGTCGCTGAGACGAAGAATGAAGATCTTTCTTTCACATGATATCATACAATTTACCTAAGCACTCTTTTCTGTATATCATGTTGAAAAAATAGTGTATAGCGAAAAGCCCCATTTTTACACCTACAAGAATGTTCAATTTATGAACGAACGATCCACTTCCATTTAAATTTTTCGATTGCTTTGATTTTATTCCATAGAAAATCTATCGGATGAATCCTTCAATTTAGACCAATTCAACAAGTATGCCTTCAACTACTGGTGTTAGTATTGATGATTGTAAAGCACAATTGGCTGCCAATATAGTCAAATTATCAAATGCGGATCCTCTCAATATTATTCAGGCTTTATCGACTTTAGATTGTCCGGGTCTTGTTGGAATGATTGAACAATATGGTACTTTATCTTGTGAAAGAACATCTTTTCTACAAGCACTTGTGACGACAATTTCTGCTATTTCTGGTCCTATTACAGTGCAAAATTCAACCGGCAATTATTCACTTCCATTGAACTTGTTTACTCATTTAATTGGCGAACCAGGTTTGATTAAATTTGTTTTGATTATCGTGAGAAAATGTTCAGTGAAACGTAAAATAGAAATTGCTATACTTTTGAATACATGTCCGTATGTATTGCACTCGAGACAGGAATAAATGAAGCATTACTGGGTTTATAATTCCAGTTTTTTCATGTTTTTACAAGCGAAATTAACAAAAAAAAGAAATCCATAACAGTGCATACTCACCCTTCTCATTACGCTTCAGTCATTCCATCTTACAAGTCATATTCCATCTATTAATACGTGGAAAAACTGACGATTATATTCATACCCTCATAATAGTAAATATCTTAAGTGAAGCGACGGATGGATTCTCTTACACCAATGTCTAAAGAATTCGTTGAAATCGATTAGCCAATTTTAATAAATATTCAATGAGCATTATGACCATAGTTAGAAAATTTTCAAAGAATGAGAGACAAAATCGAAAAGTTCTGCGAAATTTTTATAAACCATTGAAAACATATCTCTATTCCTGTTCCTAGAATTCTATATATTGACATTCAAATATTATCTTTGTGTGTTTGTTTTTGTTTCTTCTTTTTTCTTGCTGTTCTCAAACTTCAAAATCAAAATCGACTTTTTTCAAACAATGCTATAACATTGTTTGAGCGAAAACAACACTAAGGTCATGAGCACTATTTAAATTTGATTTGTCATTTTTTTTGTCAAGCAAGATTGTTGACTATCAAAATCAGATCATTATTATTCAGCATTAGCTTATGGACGCGAAGCAAAACGAGACTATTCAAGCGTTCGTCATTCATACTGTTACGCAGACAAGTATTGATCAGTTTCAAACATGAGAAAGATTCTTTCGTTGTCGATATTAATGCATGTACCTCGCAGAATAATTCGAAAAGTTGCTACATGTTCAAATATAATAATTTCTTATCGTTAATTAATACGGTCAGTCGTTCGCTGATTGATTGAAGTAGTAGCGTAACCAGACTGAGCTAGAAGAGGCTCACGTCAGTCCGCTAGAAGACTCTGAACACTCATGCCCTAAAACTTTTCTGGTTATGCTACTAGGCACAGAGTGCATATAGCCATTATTTTTAATTGTAACGCATCCTGATATAACCTGATATCAAACGCTGCAAAGCTATTTAGAGATATGTCATCTATCTTATAAACAGAAGAAGATTTGTAAACCTGTTACAAAATTGATCTGCTATCACCATCAGACAATATATTCAGTTCAATTGAATACAACTTTAATACATTTAATAAAGAGCATCAGATGAATTTTGATCATGGTGCCTACAGAGCAGAAGGCAGAAAACTTACTGCTGACCTATACATGCTCGTTGAATTTTTTTCTTCCATTGTCATGTAGTTTCGAATTGAAAAAGACGTCTATTACTATCACAATCGGTTCATGAAACCATATGCATTCGAAACCGATTCATTTTTTTTCACTCTTGCTAGTCGTAAATTAAATAAATGCATGATACAATGTCATACACAAGTAGATTTCTTAAGATAGCTATTATAATTAGATGTTGAGTCAGAACAGATGCGAGAAATCAATTTATTTAGTTAATTAATTGTTTGACAATAGATGTTTACTGCGTGTAAGAGCAGAATTGATTTCAATAGAAGAATAACGATGATATAAGCAAATTTTATATATATCTCATTTCGTATTGACTAAAATTTCGCATCACATTCAATAAAACTATGAAGATAAAACAATTTTTAATTTTATTTTTATTAAATGTTCAAGATCGTTGTTATTATTATTTCAATATTTTATAATGGCTTATCAAGATTTTTTGAGCCTTTATTTTCTAGAAAAATTTGACTGCATGAGCTGATCATGTTTCATTTGCTTAATCTGCTAAATACACTTGGATATAATCATTTAGTCAAAAACCACATAGTACAGGTCCTGATCAATATGATCAATTTGGTATTATACGAACTTCTTCTTGTCTTCAATAATTAGTAGCATTCTAATGGTGAGAAATCGACTTTCATCGTCAAGAAATTTTATACTTGTTCGACCTTATGACTTTCTTTGTTTCGATATTCCATTATCAAAAGGATTCAGCTAATTTTCAATATAATAGTTTTGATCAAAAATTTTTCTTTCATCGATACAACGAATAAGAAAAGGATCATTTGATTGAAAGAAAATTCACAGTCAAGTTTCAGTTGAAAAATATCTCGATAAACAATAGCCTTCAACCATTCGTCCTCACTAATCCAACTATTATTAAGAGATTTGAGACTAACTTATCTAAAATATCTCCATACCTAATTAGCAGTAAAATGAAAAGCAAATTGACACAATCTTTCATAAAATTTAGCCAAATTTAGAAAAAGAATCAGATATAGAGACAAGATCAAATTTTGTATAAAGGATCATGATAATCATCTTGAACATTTCATAAAATCAAAATCAAAATTTATTTTTTATGCTATCAAAACTTTTAGTCGATGTTAAGTGTTGTGCTAGTGAATCAAAATTCTATGCATGTCCAAATCAGACCTGAGACAACGTATTTATATTTCACAGTCTAAATACATTGTAAATGAAAACAAAAGACTGATGTACACGCTCAAAAGTTTTTGATATATAAGTAACTATACTTGTACATTTCATACAACGTGCATTATAGCACCTTGACAAACTATGTCGGGAACGTCCTTGTTTGAACAGCACTTTCGCTATGATCCTGATAGACACTGTACTCCGTGATACAACAACTACGGTTGTAAAGTATACTTTAAAATGATTCATCATCAGAGTCAGTCATTATTATTATGAATATAATAAATTTAGCTGCACCTTCCACATAACTCATATAAGAATTTCCAGAGTTGGAACCGGACCGGACCGGATAAGACTGACAAAGAAGTTAAACCGGGCCGGACAGGACCGGATGTTTGCCAGTTCATCGTTACAAAATTGCTATGTGCATCCAGGAATTTTCTCTACTGAAAACGGCGTTTTTATGAAATTTTCAAGTCAGAAGAATGTGTTTGCGAAAGATTCAATAGATGGGTAGTACCATCAGGAATCTCCCACGTTCACAGTGACCTTCGCCGGCCAAGCTGAAACATTGATCAATTGAAGGCCTCA